TTACTCATAAGTTAATAATATTTTATAATTTTTAAATGACAAATAAATATTTTAAAAGAAAAAAAGTTCCAAATAGTTCGGCCACGGGCCCGGGGCCCATTGTWATGATTTACAGGGGGCCCGGGGGTTCTTTGCACCCCTAGCAYCCCCGGTTGTTGCGGCACTGATTGAGGCCAATACTGACAAAGCGTCGGCCGAGACTGTCCTGTAGGCACGTGTTATGCGGAGTGCGACGGCCCTCTGCGCTCTTGCCAATTCTGCGCGATTCTTAGCCGTTTTTGTCCCGCGGACAGCCCAGGTCGGCTATATATTATACTATATACATATTACATATCATAGATTAATTATTAATCATTAAAATTTGTCAATTCAATTTAAATTATAAAACAAAATCTATACGACTCGTTTTTTTTGCCATCACGTTGTGTGGCTAATAAATAACGAGATTTTCTCTGTAAACACTTTTTATTTATATTTTTTAATGGTTTAACATTTTTCCCCTTCTATATACTCCCCTCCATGTTTGACACATCGCTCCATTCTAATTTTCCATTGGTTGAAACAGTGTTGGAAATCCTTTTCTTGCAATATCTTTAACACCTCTGTCGCTTTTGTTTTTACAGCTTCAACTGACTCAAAATGTGTGCCCTTAAACGCACTTTTTAGTTTTGGAAAAAGCCGAAAGTCGCATGGAGCGAGATCTGGTGAATATGGGGGGTGTTGAACTGTTGAAGCACTGGAGTTCGATTTTTAGCTAGAAATCGCTTTACAGATAAGGCACTGTGAGCACCATTTTGACGCAGACTTTTGTCATGTTTAATTCATCGTGCAAAATTTGTCTAACGGTCTCCTTGTCGATATTTACCATCTCAGCTATCATTCGAATATCCAGACGTCGATATTTTCGCACAATTTCATTGATTTTTGAAATGTTATCGTTAGTTTTTGAGCAGCATGGACGACCCACCCGTAGATCGTCTTCAACTTCTTCACGACCCTCACGAAATCGTTTGTGCCACTCAAAAACACGTGGTCGTGATAGRACACTATCTCCATATACTTCAGTTAATAAATTGAAACATTCGGTCGCAGATTTTCCAAGTTTCATTAAAAATTTTAAATTAATACCGTTGTTCAATTTTTTCATCCGGCATGATTTCGACATTCAAAACGTAAGAGGTCAATTTAAACGACGCTTACACACAGACTACAAAACGGAAACTGACAAAACTGGTGTTGTTCGATACAGTGATATTCATAGATTACAATTATAGTACCATTATACCCTTATCTACTCTTGCCTTATCGCTAAGAAGATAGTCTCGTTCTTAGATCATATACTATATGATCCACGATTTAAGATATCTTAAATCGTGATATGATCTAAGGTCTCGTCATTTAATAGCCATAATCTATGATATTATTATCTATGATATCAATGAATTTCTCGTAGACGGTAATAATTACACTCGTCATCTGTCTACATTACGTACATCATCGAATTGGCAGAGACCGATGTCGATCAGTCATTACTATGTTATAACACTTATTTTACGGAGTTTTGTGTTTGAATATTAAAATACTTACTTTACACACTTCTAAAAAAAAATTATTGTGATCACGTATTTACGTTATTTTTAAAAACATAGGGGAACCTTGTATTAAATTTTCTAACTTTTTGACACAGAACATTTTTTTACCGACATTTATAGAGGAAAAAACAGTAAAACAATTGAAAATATATGGTATACCTACACATTTAGCGAACATTTAAAGTGTATACGATTTTTATTTTTGAATTACACTAAAATTTAAAATCAATTTTAGATTCTGGACGAAGTGATGAATGTATTGATTTTACAATGATGTGTATTTTTTTTTATTTTGTGTCTGTGTACAGCATAATTAGTCGAAATAATGCTTCAATTTAAAACTTTGGGGGTGGTTTCCGATGTAAAAGTGAATATCCTTGGTGCATTATAGAGGTCAAAAGTAAACATTTTC